TACTTTATTTTTTGTTCCTTTGTTTTTTTTTTTGTACTGGGGATCAAACTCAGGACCTTGTGCTTGCAAGGCAGGCGGCAGCACCACTGAGCTAAATCTCCAGCCCTACTTGCTATTCTCCTAACATATTTTCTTTTACACCTTTATGTCATTTATCCATATTGTCTTTGGGATACTGAAAGTGTTCTATGATTTCTTTTATTGGAAAAGTCCTACTCATCTTTTAAGTTCAGAGCTCTCTGTAAAGCTGTTTTGAATCCTGCCACTGGCAACTATTCAAAAAGAATAATTTCTCTGCAATCCTAGGCTAACAATCCAAGAACAAAGTGCTCTTGTTTTGGTTAGTCAAATAAACACAAACTTAACCATATAATGAAACAAATAAGATTACCTGATGGGCATGTTCTGTAGCCCATTCTTCATCCAAATTATCCAACTTAGTTTTAGGATATTTGATGCTCTCATTTTGTTCCTCTTTGGGTGGTGTTCTAGTGGCAAGAATCACATAATCCTTTTGTGAAGAACACTTCAAAAACAAATTATAAAAGCTTATTAGGGTGATATCTGATTGAGGAAATCAGATATCTTAGCTCTATGACACAAAAAACTAATACTTGAACAGTAGTGTCTCGGTTTACAAACTTAATTTGTTTTACAAATTCTGGGGGAAGATAGCCGTTTGTGTGGAGAAGGCATGGTCATGTTTGTCACCCGATGTGGAGTTTGTGAACAAAAGCAAAATTTTGTCAAAAGCTTTTGCTTGAGACCCAAATTATTTACAAACAGAAGCATTTGTGAACCAAGGCATTACTAGGTTACTCAAGGAGACTAATTTTTATTATGTAAAGATAAACTTGGGATCATTGAACAGCCCAGTTTTATTGTAGTGAAAATTTCCTTAAAAGAATGAAAATAAAGTTAATAATGCAAATCAGTGTATCTTCTTCATATGTACCTAACACTCCATAATGATCATTATCATTTTGGGATAAAAAACATAGGAAGAGTAATTATTTCTACAAAAGTTATTTCCAAGAGATGTGCACAGATGAAGAATACAGGTCCTGATTAAAGATGCTCCTTTTTTTTCATAAAATATTTAACTTTGAAAAGAAAAAGTAACTGACACTGGAGAACAGGAAATAGGCAAGCTTGGGTAAGAAGGGATGAGCTCTGAATTAAAAAGACAGAAAAAGCCTATAGAAAACTGGAAGAAATAAAAAGCATGAAGACAGACTGGAAAGCCTAAAATTTTGATAAACTCATTTGCAAGATGTTAGTTTTGCTGAGCCCTAGAAATACAGCAGCCTGTATTCACTAAGGTAAGTCTGGAAAAGAATCTCCTTCTGATATTTTATCTCTACTGAGCACATCTTCTTCTAAGGCTTGTCCCTTACATTTTTTAAATAAAGGGGGAAAAGACTCTTAAATAAAAAATTCCTAGCAAAAAGACTCCCACATTAGACGCTATGTAATCTGAATCAAAAAGTTGTTCAGGGCTGGGACACAGCTCAGTGGTGGAGCACTTTGCCTAGCATGTATAAGGCCCTGAGTTCAATCCTGGGAACAACAACAAAAAAAGTAGTTCATATTTGGCAGTCTAATGAAAGGACTTATGGAGTGGTACTACCTGTGTAGAAGTATAGATATGCCTTCTGTCTTAGAAGAAAATCTTATTTTTGAAACCTCTGAAAATGAATCTGTCTCTCAGAGTTACACTGAGATTAACTAAGCTTGTGCAGAATGATGTAGAAAACCTGAATGTTATGAAGGGTCTAGATACCTAAGTCCTCTGTGCAGTACATTCTTTTTTTGGGGGGAGGGGGCAGTGCTGAGGATCAAACCCAGGGCCTGGAACATGCTAGGCAAGTGCTCTAAGACTGAGCTACACATCCAGATCAGTGCATTCTTTATAAGTAGGTAAAATCGGGTATTAAATTATAAGACAAAATATCTTGAGAATAGGAATAGAATCTAAACAAGAAAAGTTAATTATGCAATTTGAAAGTTTTAAAGCATCAGATAAAATAGCTGCCCCAAAAGCAAGATGTTGCTTATGCTCATCTCCATTCTGTGTTGATTTTTTTTTTTTGGTACCAGGGATTGAACTCGGGACCTTGTGCTTATGAGGCAGGTAGCGGAACCACTGAACTAAATCCCGGGCCCTTCTGTGTTGATTTTTAAGGCCTAACTATAAGGGAAATAGAATTTTCTAATTTTCAAGTTTACCCCAATTCCTTTCCTTCCCTCTCTATTGAATCAACATTTTAAAAAACTGTCAGTAAGATAGATATTACAATATGTAACAAAAAATATAATCATTGTTGCTGTAAGTCTAAGACAAAACAAACTAGAATATGAATAAAATTGTTAAAACCTTTTTTCATAAAGAATGGGGCAATGAAGAATTAGTAAAGATTAAAATGGAGTATAAAACACTTTGGAAAGAACAAAAAGTGAATAATCTGTCAATAAAAGTTCTAGTTTTGAAGTTTCTATGCTACTTTATAAATTAAAAATTACTTCCAGGTTGTCAAAAGGAAATATGTTCTGACATGAACAAACCTGAACTATCTTTGTCCTACTTTGATAAATTTCTTCAATGATGTACCTGAGGTTTAGTTCTACATCATATCCTTGCATCCCCCAACCTTGAGTTTGTTAAACAGCATATTTAAATAAACAGATAATTTTTTTATCAATAAATGCACATACCTGTCCTATTAAAAGACCAGAGACAAAAGGTTTTCCTTGGAGATTGATATTTGAAAGATACTGGCCAACAGTCTCATCTACAATGTAGGTTCGTCCCATTGTTGAGAGCTAATTCAGTCTCCTAAATTATGAGAAAAAATATATAAACATCTTTAGCAATATAATTTTTCAATGCTTTTAGTATACAAGTAATACAGTGAGAAAAGTGGTACTATCCCGATACTACCCCAAACCTTACTGTGGCTGCAATGATTAAATTGTGATTAAAAGAGCTGCTCTTTCTTCCAAAGTTCAAATGTAGCTTCAGAATTCTCCTTAACTTAGTGTTGCAGGAAATAAGTATCAATCAACCAGAGTTCACATGAAAGACCAAATCTGTTTTCTCATATTTGAAATAAGGAAGAAGACTTTAAGTAACAGTCAACACACCTGATTTTTACTTTAGAATTTCTCCTACTAGTAGTATTATCTTTGATAATTTATTACTGGAGCCTTTATTTCTAAAAGAGTAAAGGTAATTCTCTAAATAGTTTATAAGGTTTAGAGAATCAAACTTATTTACTCAATAAGCATATATTGTAAATCTACTATTTGCAAGAAATTGTGCCAGGTGGGATGGCATGAAGACCAGTAACTTTGATCTCTGACTGAGTAACCCATGATAGTTATATAAGTAGATAAACAGCAATGCAGTAATAACTTTGTATATGGTTTCTATTTTGCATAGGCCATTATTCTAAGTACTTTACATGTAATAATATTTAATATTTACAAAATCCTTATGAGGCAGGTATTACTTAATCCTGTTTTTCACAGATTTAACCAACTGAAACACAGCATAGTGAAAGAACTTGCCCAGATGATAAATTGGCAAAGGTGGGGGCAGTCTGGCTCAAGAATCCGTATCCACTGTACATTCATACTCAGGAATTATACACAGTCCTTCAACTAATTCACTACAAAGGGTAGTTCCTCCTCTGGTGTTTCCCCAGTTTGTGAATGAAAACTAGTAGAGTACCCCTACTGACTTAATGCTCTTATGATTTGGATTTTTATAGCTTAAAATCAAAGATACTGAATAGAAGATCTAGACCACAATGAATGCTAATATCAAGAGGCTTATATTCCACGTGAAAAAAATATAAGATTATTTATCTTTAAAGTTATAAAATGGATAACAGAGAGACCATGGAAATATAACTGCAGTGTTTTGAATACTCCAATTTAGAGATAAGTCATTCAGCTTCTATAAAATATTTGACTCTTAATACTACAATGTCAAGTTTACTACAGATGTGTCCGGGTTGTATAACTGACACCAACAGAATAAACTACTAGCAGAAAAATGGTTCTGCATTACTCTAAAACTATAGTCCAAAGAATGGGTTCAATTTTCAAAGGGCCTGTCCAATGCTACTGTTCACTAGATTCAAAAAACCTATTCAATTTTATATTAAAATACATAAACTTTCTTCCTAAGTCTTTTTGGACAACAGTACAAGTGAATTAGATTTGCATACTTTCTTACTTTTGAGACTATGACTACATCTTCTTGTGTAAATCCTTAATACCTTTATAAAGTTAAGGGCTTTCAACTATTAGTAATACCTTAAGCCAGGTATGTGTTTCTGTATATTAATTTTCTTCTACTTCTACTCCTTTTCTTTTGGCCCTTAATAATTTCTGACTCTTAGAAAAAACAGCAAATGACACTAATATTATGATATTTAATCTTCTAAATGTATTTCTTCCAGAGTGTCACTTACTAGCCACCTTACTGTGTAAAGAACTGAATGCAATAGGAAAATAAAAATCTACTAAATTATGAAGTCTGGTTGAATGTCAGATAATTTTTTCTTTAATTCTCTTTAAAAACTTTTAAATGTTGCCAACCATAGTTTATAAGGGTCACTACAAAAACATTTATCTTGCCTTATGTAAATTTCCTAAAGTGTGACTTTAGATAATTCAACCTCTCTAGAATCTGGTTTCCATCTAAAAAAATAATTTGGATCTTGACAGATCTGAAAACCTAAGTGATTTCAGAACTCTGTAGTGTAAGTATAGAATATCTGCATTTCCCAAGAATATGATAATACTGTTGGCATATGATGTAGTACAGTACTGCATCCAAGCAACCTTAAAGAGTTTATATGTTAAATATTTTGGAGGAAAACTTCACGTTCCTTACTCATTTTATTTTACCTTAGTAATCACAAAATAACATGGGTGAGATGTTTAAAATTCTTTAGACGTTTTCATAACAACAAAAAAGAAACAAATTTAACGTGAGAACTAAACCACCAATTCACAGAAGGTGCATGACTGTGAGAACTGTTAGGAGGATGACATCAGGAATGCCGTATTTTAAGTAAAGATTTTAACAAATTCAGAAGAGTAACCAAACATGAAACAAACTACAGACTAAGTTTAGAAATTGCAGAAATATGATCTGAAAACGAAGAGGTTTGTAATGAAGCCTTGTTATATGGTGACAAGTGATTTTTTTAAGAAAATAAGACTTTTGTTACAATAGTTTTCACTTTTAAAAACATCAAAATAAGACAACAATTTCTGCAGGTCACCTTAAAACACAGGATACATACATTTAAACTCCTCCTGGTTTATTCTGTCCTCTTACTAAAAAATTAACCGGGCTCCCTGAACTTTTGTTGAATAACTCAGTACTCCCCGCCCCAAAAGCAAATAGATACAAGATTTAACGAAGTAAGTTCGTCAGAACTGGACTTGACTGTACTGGAGTGACTGTCCATGTTTTTTACACCGTGCCCCTTCCTTTCTCTCTTGAGAAGCTCTCGGTACCCGAGAGCACACACGAACCCCCCCGCCCCCTCCCCACACACACGCTGCCCCCTTAGGCTGACTTACCTGTTTTACAGAATGTGCACGCGTGGCAGATAAATCTATCGAACCATCAGGGAATGCGGATGCAATCGGCCGCTGGCTACAGACTACGCTTTGGTGCTAATTCCGCAGCCAACGAACTCATCAGAAAGCGACCTCTTACGCTTCCTTTCCCACCTCCGAAGCAGTCTCCAGAGTCCTGTGGCGCAGACTGATGACGCACAGGCTCCCCCCTCCTCCGCAGCGCCTCAGCCAGACCACCGGTGGTTGCCACCCCGGCCCCTTCCGGGTGCCATTGAGAGCGTGGCGGTAGCCCAGAGCTTGCCGTCCGGCCCTGCTGGGAGCGATGCCCTCTAGTGCCTGAGTGTCTAGAAGCCCTCAAAGAGGACCACCCAGTGGCATTCCGGGGCTTAGACGGTAAGGCAGCCCAGCTCTTAGGGGACTGACGTGAGATGATGACTATTTCTTTTTTGGCGCCACCGCGCAGACAGTAGTCTTGTGGCCAAGCGAGGAGAACCGTGGGGCAGAGAGAAAGGGGGACACAAACGCGCGCTGCGGTTTTGGTGTACGGAAAGGAACGAGAAAAACTGCGTTTCCCAGAGGCCTGCGTGGCCTGAAGCTGGCGGGGTCGGAAGTCGGCGTGCGCTGCATGGTCTATGAACTCGGATGCCCAGGGTGCATTGCTTCCCGCGGCTGCGTGCTCACTTTGGGCCCTGGAGCTGTGGCGCATCTGGTGCCACGGCTAACTCGAGGACTCGATTTCCCAGGGTCCCGCTGCGGCAGTCTCCGGCAAACCCGCGCGCGCGAGCCCTAGAGCGAGGCGGTGGAGGCTGCGGCCCAGGTTTCTGGGTTCTGCGTCTCCTTTTTTCTCCGTTTCTGCTGCGTCTGCAGCTGTCTCCGCAGCCCCTGTCCTGGCCGACATGGCGGCTGTGTTGCAGCAGGTCCTGGAGCGTACGGAGCTGAGCAAGCTGCCCAAGTCGGTCCAGAACAAACTTGAAAAGTTCCTTGCTGATCAGCAGTCCGAGATCGATGGCCTGAAGGGGCGGCACGAGAAATTTAAGGTGGAAAGCGGTAAGTGAGACGCCCTTCCCGTCCTTCGTTCTGAGCTCTGGTTTGTTTTCCCTCCTACAGCTTGTAGTCTTCACAACGCTTATGGGTAGCATCACTTCCTGGAGTCTTTGAGAGCCCTAGGCCTTCTCTTTACTGCTTCTCGCACAGTTTGATGAAAAGACACCCCTTCTTGTTTTCCAAACTTAAATACGCTTTTATTGTTTTTGCTTTTACTTTGCAATTAAGTCGATCTCATGTAGGGACTCTAAACTTTGTCCAACAAATTGAAATTGTGAAGAATTTGGGTCATTTACACCATACTTTTATCACCCCCTATTCTTTTAAATCTCGAGTACCTACTCTTGTTGTGTTGGACTTTAAATGACCAGTATTTTCCGCTCTATATTTTAGTCACCTGAATTCATTTCTTTCCCTAATTCACCACTTCGTGCATTGGTTTTTCATGTATGTGTCTCTCTATGAGCCCATTACGAAGTAGATTTCACAAAAATGACTTTAGATGCAAAAGATACACCGGATACGCAGTGAACTTGCAGTAAATAAGTTTAATGTCTCATTGTTCCTCTAGAAATGGGAGTTGGATAGAAAATAATTAACACCTGCTTATGATAGTGTGCCTTCAAATGAGAAAGTTATAAACAACAGTGACTTGAACATCCTTAAAATAAGATTAGGAATGTAATGGTTGCCACTAGTAAAATACAGATTTTCAGGCTGAAGCAGACAGACTTCTTTTGGAAAGTTTAAGTATTTATTTTTAGAAAAAATTAGTAATTTTATAAAATTTAAAATGTTAACAATTTTATAGCAATGTCAAGTACTGTTTTGACAGTTTTAAAAAACCTTCTAAAGCAGTTACTAATTAAAATTTTTCTACTGTATGATCCTTTCTAGAAATCTGCCTTACATTAAGCAGTCTACTTACTGACCATTGGGAAAATACTAAGATCTGTAATATATGTTGTCTGCTTGAAAAAAAGTATTTATAAAAATCCTTATTTTCTTTTGTCATATAAATTAGTTGGAAATGTACGATTACTCCTTTTCAGTGCTCAATGTATCTTTAAATTCTCTTATTTGAAGTGCAGTTCCAGTACTTCGTATAAATTTTAAAATCAATTAGAAGTTAAAAGTTGGACAATGTGTGTGCACGTGTGATTGATTGATTGATTGATTCATTTTTGCTTCATCTTTGGTAGAACAACAGTACTTTGAGATAGAGAAAAGGTTATCCCACAGTCAGGAGAGACTTGTGAATGAAACCCGTGAGTGCCAAAGTTTGCGACTTGAGCTTGAGAAACTCAGTAAGTATTTGCCTATATCTTTGTAAGCTTTCTTGGAGTTTTGAGATCTTTAGATGCTTGTGTTCTTTGGAAACATTTACTTACTGTGTATGAAAACAGATTAAGCATTATTGTGTTTATTTATATTGGTATTTTGACTTTGCTAAATGGTGAAGACTGTGAGAACACGGGCCTTAATGGTTAAGAAGCCTGGGTTCTAATTCTGACTTGCTGTTAAAAGTGATTTTGCCATGGGTAAATCATGTCTCCTTGCTCATTTTAAAACGGCTACAGCCACAGGTGTATCTGCCTACAAAGCTTTACATATCAAATGAGATGTTGATGAAAGTTTTTTGAATAGGGTAAACCATTTTGCAATGGAAGAACAATGTTTTTATGTTAAAATTAAAGCCTGTTGATTCTATTACATTTAACTTTTCTTACTCTGTTAAATATCTATGAATCAATATATTTTCTCTAAAAGGTCTCATTCCAGTGATAATGAGTAATTTTCTTCATAGCTTTCTTACATCGTGGTACACAAGATATTAAAGTTATTGACATTTCTCAGCAGTATGTGTCTTAATGAAAAGGTTTGTTCAGGGTACTCACATGCTAAAGAGTTTCAAGAAAATAGCTGTGAGCTTTTTTTATTTTTTTAAATGGGATCTGAGATAAAAGATCAGGATAAACCTAGACAAGATCAAATGCCTTCTAGGTGTACAATTATCTTTGTGTTTTTTATATATAACTTTAGGTCTCCAAGTCTGGGAAGCAGTAAATAACTTTAAAACAAAACAAAATCTGCATTAATCTAGCAGGGCTTTTTAAATTCTTTTATAATAATGCTGTTGTCTAAATAGAAGATAGGAATTACAGGTATTCCTTGTTTAACAACCTAGCTATTCAGATTTAAGATCTAAGTGCACTGTCTGGACTAACAATATGTCCTTTTTGTTTGTTTTTAGAGTCTCAGTGTCTTTTTTGGGGGGGGGTGTGCAGTATACCTTGTTTATACAGTACTGTAATCTTTGCTGATTGTACTGTACAGTACTGTAGTTTTATATTCTGTTACATATTATAGTGCTGCATGTAAGAGTTATGCAAATAAAAGCAAAATCATCAATTTGGAGTTTCCTTTGTTTCTTTTGAATATTGTAATGTTCATACTACATACAATTCTTCAATTAATGACCAATTCATTTAACATCCTAGTTGTAGTCGTTAAACAGGGAGTCTCTGTAGTAAGAATGTATTTGCTCACTAAATTGCTAATACATAAAATATGTATATATTTATATAATATATATATATATATATATTTTTTTTTTTTTTGGTACCGAGGATCAAACTCGGGTCCTTGCACTTGCGCAGCAGGCGGTGAAACCACTGAGCTAAATCCCCCGCCCTAAAATAGATATATTTTAATGGAGAAATATTTCAAAAAGAATATTTTTCCATAACTATATGTGTGCATTTGGAAGAAAAACTGTATCAAGGAAGACAGTCCATTATATGTAGAGATTGAGGAAATAATAATTGAGTCTGAAACATAATCTTTTTCCATGTTAAATGCTTTCTTTAGAATAATATACAAGTGTGGAATTACAAGTATCTATTATGATTTACTATATGTGCATTTTATGTACTTCAAAAGATATTTTCTCTCTTGTCTTACTCAGTTTTCCCTTTTCTAAATAAGAGACTCACTTTTTTATGATATGTGTTAATATAGAAGATGCCATTGAAAAATGAAGGTATTGTTACATAGATGTTTGCTGCAAATATTGGTTAGAATTATTACGTTTGATTTTGGATACAGAATACCATATTTAAAATTTTGGTCTAGAATACAGAAAATTTGGAGTGTATTCATAAGTTTGGAATTAATTACAAGTCAGTCTTTTCTGGGCTTCAGTTTCTTCCATTTTAAAAGTATATGAGGGTTGATAGGGGACCAGGGATTTAGCTCAGTGGTTCCACTGCCTGCCTCGCAAGCGCAAGGACCCAGGTTCAATCCCTGGTACCACACCCCCAAAAAAAACAAAACGAAAAACTATATGAGGGTTGCAGTTGGATAAAAACACTCATTGCAAGTTTTAAGCGTGTGTGTGTGTGTGTGTGTGTATGCATGTGTATGCATGTATGTATATGAGTATATATATATATATAGTTCTGTATTTATATATATTCATAAAATTTCTTTAGACAATCAACTGAAGGCACTAACTGAGAAAAACAAAGAATTAGAAATTGCTCAGGATCGCAGCATCACCATTCAGGTAAAAGTTATTACTGTGAATAAAGCTAATCATGTATGTGATACTAAAGGCAGTTTTCTATTCTTATTATGTTTATTAGGTATTAATCAGTGAGATGTCTTATTAGAAGACACTACCATAAAAATATGTGCATATAAATTTCATAATTAAATCTTTACATGTTTTATTGAGAGTGAACATTCCTTTTATTCAATAGAAATTATGTATGCTTACTATAGTCCAGGTATTATTCAGAACATTTTGATGTTGGAGATTTGGGTGAATCCACATTGGTAAATATTTACTTAGAACACTGTTAAGAATAACAGTTTTATATCCCATGCATAGTATCAGATCATAGTGCAATGAAACTGGAAATCAGGGGCAAAAGAAACCCCAGAAATTATGGAAACACGTCGCAATTAAACATTGCCCTCTTAAATTATCAATGGGTCCCAATAGAAATCAAAGAAGAAATTACACAGTTCCTAGATTTAAACAGTATTCCCAGTGCAGCATACTAGAACCTATGAAATATAATGAAAACAGTCCTAAGAATTTGTACCTGTGAATACCCATCAGAAAAACAGAGTGAACTGAAATAAAAGTGATACACCTCAAGGTCCTAGAAAAATGAGAACAATCCAAATCAAAGCTACTACAAGGAAGGAAATTACAAAGGTCAAAGCAGGAATTAATAAAATTGAAACTAAAACACAATGTAAAGAATTGAAGAGTTGGTTCTTTAAAAGAATAAACAAAATTGACAAACCCCTACCCAGTCTTAACCAGAAAAAAAAAAAAAGGGAAAAAAGATT